TCCTACTTAAAACCTTGGAACGGATAGTCGATAGCATGGTTAAAAGCAGCATACCATACAAAGACCTTAAATATAAGCAGCATGCTTATGTAAAGGGACGATCGGTGGAAACCGCTTTAAATGAAGTTGTCCACTACATAGGTGAATCTTTCGATAGCAAACTGTATACATTGGCGGTATGCATTGACATCGAAGGTGCTTTCAATAACGTGCACACTGATACCCTTATCCAATCCCTAGACCAGTTTTATGTTGACCGGGTGCTCCGTAACTGGATCAATTACATGCTAAGGAACAGATGGATAAGCTGCGAGATGTACGATATAACTATCAGGAAAAAGGTATTTCGCGGTATACCACACGGTGGCATTTTGTCACCTTTACTCTGGGTTACCACGATTAATAGCCTCCTAAGGACCCTAACCGAGAAAGGACTTAGACCTGTCTGCTATGCAGACGATGTCGTAATACTTTTAAAGGGAAAGGATCCAAATTACTTGTGTAGAAGAGCTGAGGAGGCTCTGAATACGGCCTTGAGCTGGGCTCAACCGAGAGGCCTCAATGTTAACCCGGCGAAGACGGAAATCTGTCTTTTCACAAGAAAGACAAAAATTTCTACATATACTGAACCTTGCTTCCTGGGCAAGAAGATACCGGTGACAGACAAAGTTAAGTACTTAGGTGTAATACTTGACCGGAAATTAAAATGGAGACACCACATAGAGGATAGGATCAACAAGGCACATCGGTGCTGGGCGATATGTAGGAGAACCATAGGCATGAAATGGGGTCTTAGTCCTACTATGACAAATTGGCTTTATAAAAGTGTAATTAGACCAATTCTAGCTTATGCTTCAATAATCTGGTGGACTGCTTTGGACAAAAAGTGTAATATCAAACTACTACAGGGAGTTCAGCGTACATGCTGCTTGAGTATAAGTGGTGCCATGTGTACTACTTCAACCAAGGCTCTGGAAACGTTGCTAGATATTCCACCCATTGAAACATATATAAGATATGAGGCGGCGCTTACAGCCGAACGGCTCTTTACTTTAGGCGAACTGGCCAAAAACGGTTATAGGACACGTCATTAATGTATACTGGACACATTGGAAGGTTATACACATTCATCGGACGTGCCTGATCGCATACCAGACACTGAATATGTCGGAAACTTTGAAACGCTAATCCCAGATAGAATGTCTTGGTCAAGCAAATACCAGTAGGAATCCGTTGCTACATGGATGGCTCTAAATTAGGGGACAAAGTGGGCCTGGGGTTCTATATTGAAGACCCAGAAACAGAAATATACCACCGTTTACCTAATCAAAACACAAGCTTCCAGGCAGAAGTACGAGCAATAACGGAATGTGTAAATTGGATTAGAATATATATGGCACCCACAGGGCTTAATATATTTACCGACAGCCAGAAGGCAATTTGTGCGATATCAGGTGATAGAATTAAATCTAAGACCGTATTGGATTGTAAGAAAGCTTTAACTGAATACTCTCCCAGAGGTAAGGTTCACATCATATGGGTACCAGGCCACTCGGGAGTAGTCGGCAACGAAAGGGCGAATGTAATAGCTTTAAAGGGAAGGGAGCTCGATGTAGTTAACCTGACAAACGCAAAACCATTCGACGCAACAAAAGCTGAATTAAAAATATGGATGAGAGAATCCCATAAGGCCTCTTGGAATAATGAAACGGTGGGTAGAACCATAAAGATTCTATGGGGTGACCCTGATGAGAGCAAGACGAGAAATCTTCTCAAAATGAGCAAGTCTGAGGTTAGTATGATGGTTCGTATTCTGAGTGGACACATAGGATTACGAGCACACCTATACAAAATTGGACCTGCGGATTCAGACGAATGTAGAGCATGTGGAGAGGACAGTGAAACTCTGGAGCACTTTCTTTGCCATTGTCAGGCATTCGTCGAAGTTAGATCCAAGTATCTTGGAAGTGATGTTATTCCGGAAATAACATTCTTAACGAACACCGATTGGAAGATTCTTAGGAATTACGTCCAGGAAACTGAGTTTCTGAACATGGAAAAATAATACATTCAGTGAACAATTTTTTTTTTTTTTCTTGAATTGGAGCGCACAACAGGCCCGATAGTGGCCTAGGTGTATTTCTTCGGATTTGATGTAGTATACATCCTCCTATCAACCTAACCTAACCTAATTTACACTGTGTATATAATGTGATTAACTAACAAAATTCTGTTCCAGAACTCATTTTATAACAAAACCGATATGAGATATTTATCCGTCCGGCGGCAGCTGACTACAACGTGTAAATCTTAAAAATTACTCCGCCGGAGTAGAATTTTCCATTCACAACAAAGATTCTTTCATTCGGTATATACTCTTTCCATAAAGTTTTACATCTTTATGTTTATTTTTCACAAAAATATTAATTTTACATAATTTTGGGCAAAAACTTAAGTTTTGTAAAACTAATCTGCTGGAGTAGAATTTTTCATTTGGAACAAACATTATTCCATAAAAATTTCACCAAATATTTTCATTAAATGAATTCGCCTCAATTATTGTTTTTGACATCAGTGCGTACCAAATGCAAAAACAAATTACTTGGAAAATTTTGTTGGTGCCGAATTGCCACCACCTTATCTGAATTTTCCATTTTACTTTGTTATTGTTTTATACCAATCGTGTAAACACAAACAGTCTTATGCAAAAAAAAAACCTTATTATGACCTTAAAGTGTACATTAGTTAACAACGACTTTTAGCTTAATAATCCATTATTAACGGCTGTATTTATAAAAACTTATTTTAGGTTTATTAAACAATTTTAGGCAAAATTCAGGAAAATCGTATTTATAAACGTGAAATAGCTTAAAACACCTTCAATAAACCATTGACAATTAGAAGAATTTTATTGTAGGCTCGACCCTTCTTTAAGCCAACAATAACTTGATTTTTAACAATTTTTTTCTCAGATAAAGATTTTTCCGGTAATTTTAGGTTGATTGCGAAAACTAATTATGGTTTCTTTTAAAATAAAGTCTAAAAATTCTAATTTTAACGTTTACAATTTGTAAATAAAATCTCAGAAAATTTTTAAACGATTATATTTTGAGGAAAAAACTCAAATCTAGGCATTATTGGATTAATGCATGAATATTTGACAATATTCCAATTGTCCAGCACTATTTTTAGGCAATTTGGAAATGCCCGTCTGTCAACCAAATGATGGACAAAATCATTTGATTTGGCTTTTTCAAAGTTTTTTGGTTAAATATAATGCCATAAAGTAATTAACCATGTAAATTATATTGATTAGTGTTATACTAATGCAAAATATATTCGCCGGCATTAAAATTAGTCAAATATCAAAGAAATTTATCAATATTTGCAAAAATTTATCAAAAATTACAAGGAAAATAAGTAAAAATAAGAAAATGTGTCATAGTGATGTATATTTTGTCGCAAAATATCCGTTATTCGGATACTTTTAATAATAATTAGAAATTATATGTTATATTTATACATCTGAACTAAATAGACATTTATTAAAGCCATATATATATTTATTTTTCTTAAAAGTTTGTTTTTATTGTCAAAAATCTATTATAAACAAAAATATGAAATTAAGAAAACCGAATCAACGAATATTTTATCCTAATTGTACGCAACACTAACACATAAAATGACAGCCATATTGTACAGTGCTGCCAACTTAAACATAAATCAGCACAATAGTTAATATACGTTTATTATTTGTTTATGAATATCACAATTTTATAATTGGTTTTTAAGGCTAAAGTGTGCTTTAACTATTGAGTGCATTAAAAGCAAAATACGATTTTTTTATAAATACAAGCGTAAAAATGTATATACAAAAACATTATTTTAACTAAAATACATTTTAATGTTTTTTTTAGATTTGATGATTGCCAGCCATTATTTTATTCTGTCAATATTTTCATAATGTTGTATATGAACGATTATTAGTTCATTTGGTATTCGTGTCTAATATTATTTTTTTATGCTTTTATATAAAATAATTGTTTTTAATAACATAAAAATGGGGTTGTATTTGTTTTTTTAATAAAAATAACGTAAAAATCAAATAAAACAACTAATGTAATTGCAATATTATATTTTGATTAAAGAAAGTAATCGAGTAACGTTTTCTTTAAATTTGCATTGATATTTTAAACATCACTAAACTATTTTATAAACTAAATTTATATTTTTGGCAAAAAGAAAAGAAAAAAATGGAGACAAAGCCTGAAAATAAAAGGAAAAGTGTATCCATATTGTTTTTTATTTATTTATTTTTTTATAAATTAAAAAATTCACACAACAATATTTTTCACAAAACGTCAACAGTTATAAATTGTAATAAAATAATGACATTTGACTTTAATATAGGTTTAAAGTACGGTTGAACCTTTATTAACTTTCGTATATTTAACAATGGTTTACTACAGGTATTTTAAGCTAATTATCGTTTTTGGATATACTTTTATCGAATTTAGCTTAACAACGGTTAGTAAGCATGTTGTAAGTTTTTTTGCATAAGACTGAAAATATATAAATCATACGACTTTTATTCTCTTTTTTGTCATACGGATGAAATTTCATTTTACTTTTTCATTAGACTTGTCGTACGTAAAGTGTGATCGTCTGAAGGGCCTTAAAATGACTATAAACAATTTCTATAAAATAATATGACATTACCTTATCATCGATACGCCTTGATTTTAATGAATCTTGACCAGGGCGTACTAAATATAAGGTGAAGTCGATAAAGCAGTTTCTTATATTTTTGAGCAGTACTGTCAAATGCTTGTGTTTGATGAAGAGAAAATACAACAATCGTAAACACAACGACAGCCAAATTTGACAGACATAGCAAGCTAAATTAGTATGTTATTTTTGGAAATGTATTTGTTGTAGAATTGCCCTCACCTTATAATCAGTGCGCCCTGAACTTGACCATCCCACTTATTTCGACAAGACGGCTAAATGCCGTCTCACATTCGCACAATCAGCCACCGGCGTTAAATTTGGTCGGCGAAGGTTTTTCAGTAGAATTTTACGACATAAAATTCTTGTTTTCATTAAACGCTAATAATCAAAAATTATTCGAAAAATAATGCAACAACAGTTTAAAAAATTGCAAAGTGCCTATATTGTTTACATAAAAGAGTGACTTAACATTTGTAATGGTTTGTTAATTTTAAAATTTGCAAATAACCAATAAATATGTTTCTCTAACTTTGTGCATACATTTATACTGTATGTAGAGATGTATACGTTTTATATAAAAATATTCAAGCAATAAAATATTTATATAGGTAGTATTTTTATTAAAAATAAATATAAAAAATTATCGAATAGAATATTTTGTATGGCGCAAGGTATTTTAATTATAATTAATATATCTTTGTATGGCGAAAATACTTTATGCAAACTTTTATTTACATGCCTATGTATGTATGTACTACGTGTTTATAGATATTTATAGTAGACCTGCCCTTAAAAATGTTTACTTTGGTCTCGCAAAATTTAAACGAATTGTTTATGATTGATACTCAATAACGTTAAATTAAAATGATGCCTTTTTTGTAACGATCTTTTAAATACCTTTCGTTTTATATATGTATGGGTCCAAACAAATCTGTATATTTGGAGATCTAACCATTAATATTTTGAACTTTAGAGGCTGGCCCACCCTAAAGTAATCGGGGCCGACAAATAATTTTTACGTTATTTTACACACAATCAAAGACTATGTATATTACTAGTTTACCCTGTGTGCTTTGCTACCCTAAAGTCAATATACATAAAAAAAATACACTTTACGATTTCAGAAGATTCTATCTCAAAGAGTTTCCATGATATACGAATTTTTATATTTAATTCATATGGGAGGTGCCAAACACCTATTGAAAGTCTGCCAATTTATTATCCAAATGTTCAGAGGGATGTCAGAGTTCTTCTTTAAAAATTGAGGATTATAGCTCTAATCGTTTCCCAGATACACGAATGTTTTAATTGATTCATACGGGAGGTGTCAAGCCCCCTAATAAAAGTCCACCCATTTTTCTCCCAAATGTGTTGAAGTTTTTCGTACAAAATTTGAAGATTCTAGCTACAATAGTTACCTATATAAACGATTTTTTAATTTATTTCTTAGGCACTAGGTACGTCCCTAAAATCTTCTGCGCCAATTTATTACCCAAATGTTCACATGTTTTTAAAATTTTAGCTCTAATATAGTTTTTTAGATATACCAATATTTATACTGTAGTACCTTGATTATCCGTGATTCGATTATCCGGCAACATCAATTATCCAGGATGGAAAATATTTTTTTTGCATCGACTTGATTTTATTTTGGGTTGACTTAAATTTTTCTGCATCGTTTAACCGTGATTACCTCTATTATCCGTTATTATAAGCAAAATTATATTATTTATTAACAACCATGAACAATTGGAACAAATCGAAAAGGGGAATTCCCTTGAAACGAAAATACAAAATTGAAAAATAGGAGACAAACAACATTACATGATTATTTTTAGAAATCACATAACGTGAAATCATTATCCACAGTTTACTGTTTTCCGACAAAATTATTATTTTTATATTTTTGAAACATGTATGAATATAAAATCCTTGAATTATTTAGTTTTAATATAAATATGTACATATTCATTTATTAATTAATAAAAAATTATTAAAAAACTAGCCAAAATTGGCACTCAATTAACCGGGAAAATCGATTATACAGAATGCTTCCGGTCTCGACCATCACGGAACATCGAGGTCCCATATAATTTTCCGACCCATATAGTATATACATATATTCTGGATCCTTATAGATAGCGGAGTCGATAAAGTCGTTCAATAATTCTGTTAGACATGCTTTCGAGAAGTTTCCTATTCAAAATCAGCAAAATTCGTCCATAAATAACGGATATATAAGCAAAAATCCGAGATAACATCTGAAAATTTCACAAAAAAGAGAATATTTTCATTTAATTTATTGTAATATTTTAAAGCCACATTTGGCCAATAATATAAATATTAATATTAATACATATATATTAATAATAATAGTAAATATTACAAAGTTTAACGAGTTATTTATAATTTCAAGTAAAAACTAAAAACTATGGCCCCCAGCCATAAAAGTAGCATAAAAGATATTGATATAAAAGATTTTGCATGAAGAAGCAAGATAACATCAACAGCAACGCAGGGATTATGCTTGATTGTATGTGAGTACGTTGTTGTCGTTAACGATTGAAAACAAAAACAACGTTTAGCATGTTTTTTTGTTTGTTGTAACATCTAAAACTATACAATGTCCAGGCATAAAAATTGGGTTACTTCAACTGGATGCGTCCATAAATCTATTGGACGGAGCGAAGTAGGGTTGGCTGGGCAGTTGAATATGTGGTCGGTGTCATGGGGATCCTGACCACATGCATTCGTTGGGGACGGCACGGTCTATACGTGACCAGTTGTGGCAGAACTACTCTTGTTTTCCGCGGCAGGTTTTCTTCCGTCTCTGCTATGGGCGGTGGGCCACCTCCAAGTACGACATTCAGGCGGTATCCTGCGACCGCGGAATCTATGGCGTCTCTATGAATGTTTAAGTACAAATCGATTATTTGCGGTATTTTTCCTCTAAGTGTAAATCCTAATGATTTACTACTTTAGTTCACATCTTTGATGGAAAACTATTATTATTTCAACGAGTAAACCGCTAACTGTATTTAAACTTTGTTAGCCTCCATACTTAGAAATAAGTAGTTTTACCTCTCGTCATATAGAAGCCTTAAAGAGCACTTCTTGTTGTGCATACATGCTTAAGGTAATAAATAAATAAAGGAAGACAAATCTTCTCCTTTTATAAAACTAATAATTCTTTGTGTTTTATTCTTTTTGTGCATTTACACTGAACCATATCGGATTGACGCCGAAACATTGGTCCTTCGAACCGGATAATTACATGCTCTTTTCGAATCGAGGATAAAACACTAAGAAGGACATACTCCAACGTATGAAAGGAAGACTCCTTGCCAAGGAATTAATAAGCGCCCTTTTGTTGGAGGTTTCTTTAAGCCTTAATTTAAATAAGGTTAGTAAATTGATATTGAAGTGATTGTGTCAAAAGGAAAAAAGTATATAAACATACATAAATACATAGTATGTATATACGTGTGTGTGTTTTATAAAGAAAAAAGCAAAGAAAACAACAAGTGTCTATTGTCAAAAAAAGGGAATTAATAATTTATAATAATTTATTGTGAATTAATTTTAATCCCTATTTAATACATCCTTGCGCGATTATATTTTATACAGTACCTGTTAACAGATAGTGATCGGTACTTTTATAATCAAGGCTGCGTTTGTTTACATTGGACAACAGCCATAATTGATAATTAAAAATTGCATTTGTTTTTCGGCAAATTAATAAAAAATTAACTTTTCACTGTTTAAAGAAAATTATTTTGGTGTTAATTTTTGAGTGAAATAAATAGTGATCAAAATAATTCGTGACTGCATTTAATGCAAGGTTTGTTCACACAAATTTAATATTAGTAATTGTGTTGTGAAAGATAAAATTCTTCTTCTTCCTCCTTTTACTAATTTATTGTTAGTTACCCTACGGTCGGTCGATTTGACTTTTAATAATTTGTTTGGAAAGTAACAATACAATTTCGATTTTTTGTGATTTTTGAAAGCTGCTTCCTATTTTTATAGTATTTTACCAAAATAAATCCAATCTTAAAATTGTGAAAAATGCCTTTGACAGCCCTCGAACGTTTCACTCGTGCCTCAGACGCCGTTATAAAATTTGAGGCAAACTTTAATAATATACGCGAGGAAGAACATCACGTGTACTACTTCGAAGTTTTGGAAAGTGAATTGAAGATGTGTTGGGAAAAGGTGAAAATTACTTTCGATAATGTTTAGACGATCTTGAATCTTCTGAAGACGCTGAGCCAGAAGATATTCAAGTGGCTGAAAGTAAATTCCAGAGTACCCTTAATGTTTATGCGCGATGTTCAAAGTCGATAAAAATTAAGATTGATGAATTGGAAGCAAAGACTAAGCCTAAAGTTTCCCATCATCCAAACAATGATTCAAATTTTGATAATGTTAGTCATAATCTACCTCTTCCGCCATGTGATACGGACATCTTCAACGGCGATTATCTCTCATGGCCTACATTTAGGGATCTTTTCACTGCTTTATATATTAATAACAGTCGGCTGAGTAATATCGAACGATTATGTTATTTAGTGAAAAGAACAGATAACGAAGCGAGAGAAATTGTATCTAAATGTCCGTTGACTAATGCTGGGTTTGATATAGCGTGGAAAAGTTTAAAAGATACATACGAAAATCCTCGAATGCTAGTTAATAATCAGTTAAAGTGTTTGTTTGGTTTAGAGACAATAACAGAAGAGACTAGTTGCTCTTTGAAAAGGTTACAGCGCGGAATCAATGGATTTTTAACTGCTATGTCGATATATGAGATTCCCACTCAAAATTGGGATCCAATTATCGTTTTTATTTGCATACAAAGACTGCCCTCTCAGACAGTGACACTATGGGAACAAAGTGTTAAGGACAAAACTGCCTTATCTTTATGGAAAGATTTGGACATGTTTTTGACCGAAAGAATCCAAACGTTAGATTGCATACGCGATCTTAAGAGTTCCAATACTGATAAGGAAGGCATTGAACGCAAGGAAAAGACACATGTTTTGAATACAAGTCCTACGAATGCTTGTGTTTTATGTAAAAAACCGGGTCATTTACTTCGTTTTTGCCGTCAGTTTGATAGAATGTCTATTCCTGAGAGATTTAGAACGGTTAAAAAATTTCATTGCTGCATAAATTGTCTAGCTAACTCACATGAAGTTAATGATTGTTTAAGTGAACATCGTTGTTCTATTTGTAATAAGCGGCACCATACTTCACTACATCGGGATTCTTCAGCTTCATACAATCACACTCCTAATGACCAACGACCTACTAACACGTCAACTGCATTGGTAGAAAGACCGACTACGTCAGGTCTGCTTCAGAATGTACTATTATTTCTGAAAAGTTGAGGAAAAGATTCAAAATTCCAACCATTTCCGAAGCAGCGAAGTTTTCGGGCGTAAATGAGGAATTTTCGGCCATTTCGACGAAGACTTGT